TTTAATATTACTAAGTGATATATTTTGTAATTATTTGTGTTTATATTTTATCAGGTGATTTAATATTTATAAGTGATCTATTTTATATTTAGTTATTATAAGTACCAGTAATTATTTGTGTTTATATTTTATCAGGTGATTTAATATTAATAAGTGATATATTTTGTAATTATTTGTGTTTATATTTTATCAGGTGATTTAATATTTATAAGTGATTTATTTTATAATTAGTTATAATGAGTACCAGTAATTATTTGTGTTTATATTTTATCAGGTGATTTAATATTAATAAGTGATATATTTTGTAATTATTTGTGTTTGTATTTTATCAGGTGATTTAATATTAATAAGTGATTTATTTTATAATTAGTTATTATGAGTACCAGTAATTATTTGTCTTTGTATTTTATCAGGTGATTTAATATTAATAAGTGATTTATTTTATAATTAGTTATTATGAGTACCAGTAATTATTTGTCTTTGTATTTTATCAGGTGATTTAAAGTTGGATAAAGGATGTGTTGGACAGTATATATCATCTACAGGTCAGTTAATTAATAACTTTACACCATAAGCTAGTTGCAACCTAGCTGACTGAGGTTAATACTGCCATGATCCTGCCCGTCCTCTGATACTGGTTTGAACACTGTCTTTTTGAGCTAGCCAATTGCATTGTTCAATTTTTGTCTGCGAGATATTTGATGCCAGAGTCAGTGCTGCTGAGAATCAGCTCGGTTTTGGCTTTCACCCCCTAATACCTGCCTTAAAACTGAGGTACTTTGTACCGTCATATGGCTTATATAGTATATATTTTAAATTTAAGATTTCCATTTGGAATTGACTCAGTCTTTAAGATTAACTCATTTCATTTATTATTATTTTAGCTCGTAAAGCAAACTATCCACCAATAATACAATGGCAGACGTCGTACAATGGTTGGCAGTTGTTAATGTGTGAAATAAAACAACTTTTATACCAGGTTTCACACGGTGCAGGTATGTATTCTATTTATATTCTCAACATCTGATACCAGATGATTTTAATACCATTCTCTCAACTCAGTCACAAGGTGCAGGTATGTATTCTATTTATATTCTCAACATCTGATATCAGGTGATTTTAATACCATTCTCTCAACTCAGTCACAAGGTGCAGGTATGTATTCTATTTATATTCTCAACATCTGATATCAGGTGATTTTAATACCATTCTCTCAACTCAGTCACAAGGTGCAGGTATGTATTCTATTTATATTCTCAACATCTGATACCAGGTGATTTTAATACCATTCTCTCAACTCAGTCACAAGGTGCAGGTATGTATTCTATTTATATTCTCAACATCTGATACCAGGAGATTTTAATACCATTCTCTCAACTCAGTCACAAGGTGCAGGTATGTATTCTATTTATATTCTCAACATCTGATACCAGAAGATTTTAATACCATTCTCTCAACTCAGTCACAAGGTGCAGGTATGTATTCTATTTATATTCTCAACATCTGATATCAGGTGATTTTAATACCATTCTCTCAACTCAGTCACAAGGTGCAGGTATGTATTCTATTTATATTCTCAACATCTGATACCAGGTGATTTTAATACCATTCTCTCAACTCAGTCACAAGGTGCAGGTATGTATTCTATTTATATTCTCAACATCTGATACCAGGTGATTTTAATACCATTCTCTCAACTCAGTCACAAGGTACAGGTATGTATTATATTTATATTCTCAACATCTGATACCACGTGATTTTAATACCATTCTCTCAACTCAGTCACAAGGTGCAGGTATGTATTCTATTTATATTCTCAACATCTGATACCACGTGATTTTATAACATTCTCTCAACTCAGTCACAAGGTGCAGGTATGTATTCTATTTATATTCTCAACATCTGATACCAGGTGATTTTAATACCATTCTCTCAACTCAGTCACAAGGTGCAGGTATGTATTCTATTTATATTCTCAACATCTGATACCAGAAGATTTTAATACCATTCTCTCAACTCAGTCACAAGGTGCAGGTATGTATTCTATTTATATTCTCAACATCTGATACCAGATGATTTTAATACCATTCTCTCAACTCAGTCACAAGGTGCAGCTATGTATTCTATTTATATTCTCAACATCTGATACCAGGTGATTTTAATACCATTCTCTCAACTCAGTCACAAGGTGCAGGTATGTATTCTATTTATATTCTCAACATCTGATATCAGAAGATTTTAATACCATTCTCTCAACTCAGTCACAAGGTGCAGGTATGTATTCTATTTATATTCTCAACATCTGATACCAGAAGATTTTAATACCATTCTCTCAACTCAGTCACAAGGTGCAGGTATGTATTCTATTTATATTCTCAACATCTGATACCAGGTGATTTTAATACCATTCTCTCAACTCAGTCACAAGGTGCAGGTATGTATTCTATTTATATTCTCAACATCTGATACCAGGTGATTTTAATACCATTCTCTCAACTCAGTCACAAGGTACAGGTATGTATTCTATTTATATTCTCAACATCTGATACCAGGTGATTTTAATACCATTCTCTCAACTCAGTCACAAGGTGCAGGTATGTATTCTATTTATATTCTCAACATCTGATACCAGGTGATTTTAATACCATTCTCTCAACTCAGTCACAAGGTGCAGGTATGTATTCTATTTATATTCTCAACATCTGATACCAGAAGATTTTAATACCATTCTCTCAACTCAGTCACAAGGTACAGGTATGTATTATATTTTATTATTCTAGCAGAATAGTAGGACGGAAATCTTCATTCCATTTCTACTTTAATTTTTATTAACTGAATTGATCGTAAAAAATTCATGTTTCTGTTACTTTTTTTATTGTTCTTTGTAGGAAATGTGTCAGCCATGCAAATTAATCGTGTTACCATGGTGATGACCTTAGTTAAAGAGATCATGAACTCTGACCCTGATTCTGTTGAAGAATTTTCAGATATTATTGGTTTGAGTTTTGATGTTTTACACAGGTAAATTACTGAATCCTACATAATTGTTTTTTTATCTGAAGCTGTCAAAATTACAAGAAAGGCGGATCGATTACAGTTTTCATGGAATCAACTTAACATTTAATAAAACAAGTTATAACAATGTGCTGAAAATATAGTAGGTGTAGACAGAATTTAAAATGTCAGAGAAAGAAATAGATTGGAAATATGTAACATAATCAGTTCGATTGAGGTCAGAATCAGAACTGTTTCAA